CCAGGTCCAGCGTCTCTCTCTCTCTCTCTCTCTCTCTCTCTCTCTCTCTCTCTCTCTCTCTCTCTCTCTCTCTCTCTCTCTCTCTCTCTCTCTCTACTTTTTGTTTTTTGTTTCGGGCCCAGGGATGTGGACACAAACCCCAGGGAACCTAACCCAGCCCTCCCCTCCTTCCACCCTACCTGCGGGTCCGCGCGGAATCGAACTCCGCGTGCACGCGCGTTCATTGAACGGAGTTCAATGCCGTTCAATTGTTGAGCGAAAGAGTCCCGTTCACTTAAGGCACGGTTTCATAGGCATTCTGTTCATGTGAAAGATGGTGTGAAGACGTACTACTTGGAATGGTGTTTGATAATGTGTTTGGCACCGTCTCCCTTGTTAAGAGCTACCGTCTTCTGCCTAATAGAATGTCGACGCTACCCGGGCGTTGTTCCTGTATTTAGACTGAAAGTTACCCCAAATATGGCTATAATGACCTCAGCGGGCGTCCTATTCGGGTGAAGCTGGTAGTGCGCCCTTTGAGCTGATGGATGTGTGAGACTGAAAGTTACCCCAAATATGGCTATAGTGACCTCAGTTGGCGTTATATTCGGGTGGAGATGGTAGTGCCCTTTGAGCTGATGGATGTGTGGGCATCTACCATCCAACTGGAGAGATCAGCGGAACCTTGCAGTCACTTTGTTGAAGTGCCACCGGTGCTTGGACGGATTTGGGACAGATGTCTTACTTCTTATGGTTACATCATGATGGTTGCTTTCCAAGTCACACCGATTAGTATGCGATGTTTCGTTAGAGTGTATGTAGGCTTCATTTTCCTCTGTCATGAGCACGTTGGCGGTGTGATTCCCCCCTAGCCTACCAATGTGTCCAAGTGCACTCCTGGCAGCAGTCTGTTGTGAGCCAATCCATGTCATTCTCCCATCATGATGATGGCCTGTCCTCTGTTCAGAGCAGGGCTGGGTCAGTGTTGCACACCAGGACCCCGCTAGATCTATATCTTGCGTACATAGAGGTATGGGCCTCGTTCGATACTCCTCGGGGCGTCCTCGGGCCCCGAGGACAATTCCTCGGAGTCGCTCGAGGAAATTATCGCCTTCGTTCCACTCATCCTCGGAGTCGACCCCCGAGGACGATTCCTCGGGGCTCCCGCGGCCCAGATCTATATATGCACAAGCGGACGCGGGGGTGGGGCTGACGGTGGTCCACCGAGTTGTGTCCGTGCGGACGACGCTGGTCCACCTCTGTTGGCCGTCGCGAATTCGCACGACGCCGGGAAACGAGAAAAAAAACAAAACCTGGGCCATTGGAAATGGCGCGCAGCGCTCGTGTTCAAAATTCGAAATTTGAAATCTGGCTTCGCGATTGGCGGTGCGTGGTGGATGTACGTTTCACGCCTGGTTGCATCTGCGGCTGGCATTCGTGGCGTTCGCATAAGTGACGATTGTCCCCGGCGGTTGTGGTCGATGAGCTCTCCATCGTCGACGGAGCATTCCCGCTTGCTTGAACTCTCCATTGTCGACGCCATTAGCGCCCCGTGTTTCTCCATGCATTCCGTCAGCGCCTCGAAAGTCTGCTGCCTCGTGCTCTTCCTCTTCCCAAAACCACCTGGGGTGCCCGTCGTCTGCGAAGAGCCTTGCGTCGACCCGTCGTCGTCGTCTTCTCGCCCTGCACCTCCTTCCCCATCCGACACCGATTCAGGATCCGCGTAAGACGTTGAAGGCGGGCGCACACCGCCAGACGCACCAGTGTCTGCCACGTTTTTCGGGTGGATGGTGTGCTTCATCCCAGTCGACCCCTCTATCTCGTCATACACTGCGCGATCCATGGTGAAATTGAAGCCCCTGCTCGCCCTCTCCTTCGACGACAACTGGAAAAAGTCGGCACCCCCTGACGGTGATTGAAAGTGATGGACTTTCTTGAACTGCTGCATTAGATTGTCCCACTTCTTTCCGCATTTCTCCGCATCCCTGTCCACGCCCACGTTCTTCAACCTTTGCACGACGATTGCCATTTCCATTCCCGCAGTTTCATCCGGGCGTATGTGTGCCCCATCCCCTGCATATACGCATCTTGGTCACGTTTAGCCCTTATGAGGGCTATAATGTGTTCCACGGACCAGAAGTTGCGCTTCTCCTCCGCATCACCGTCGCCGTCGCCATCGCTCCCCTTTCCCTGCCCTTTCTTCGCCTGCGGACGAGCATTGCGGCCGAAAGGCTTGGACTTTCCACCCTTACCAGCCATGTCGCTCTGCAACGATGGCGACGCGTGACCAACCCCCCCTTCCCCACACTCCACGTCGTTGTCGCCGTCGTCGTCGTCGTCTGCTTCCGCCAGTGGATCGTCCGTTTCCTTCTCGTTTTCCTGGTCACCTACGCAAAGACGCTCCACCCCTCGTCTAATGTATTCCTCGCGCCGCAGCTGTTGATCCCGCCGCCGGTCCTTCCACACCTCCCTCCCGTCACGACCATCACCAACATCCAAGAAGTCGGTCTCGTCGTCGACGCCGACGCCACGCCCTCGTGCCACTTCGGACCCCGCAGACAAGGGAGACGGCAACTGCATCCACTCCGGCCGACCCTGGGCGCCCTTTGGACATAGAGGCCGCCCGTGGTTGGGGCGTCGACGAGTTCCCGTTCGCTCCCGTCGTTTCACTCGCCAACGCCCTCGTCCTCGCTGATCGATCGACAACTGTCAATTGCCCGCCTTCGTCGTCGGGGTGGGGTCGCACGAGCACTGTCCGCGACGGAGTTGTAGACCGCCCGATGGATAAACCAAACGATAGGTTGACGCGGCCATCTCCTTCGTCTTCGCTAAGGCCAGGCCGAATGAGTTCAGTGAACGACTGGTCGTACACGCCGCCGCCCGTCCCGCACAGCTTCGTGGCTGCCCACTCCTGCGTTGATCCGCTACCCAACGACATGGTTTGTGGCCGTCTCTCCACCTCCTCCTCCTCGTCTCATGAGCCGGGGAGTGGTTGCAAGTGCGGTGGCAATGCCTCATACCCAACCCGCTGGGAGGCCCTGCCAACGGTCGACATGCTCCCCCCGCACCGCCTCCCTCCGACCTGCTCCCCTCCGGACCGGGGGATCGCCTGCCTTGCCTCCATCCTGGCGTCCTTCATCGAAGACCTTCTTTTGCGTCGACGCGGCAGCACGTTCCCAAGGATACACATCCGGAAGAGAACTACGAGGAGCAGCAGCAGGACAACGAGGAGCAGCAGCGGCAGCCTGCAGAACACGTCAGCCATGAAACAGTCGACGACGACGGCGGCAGACCGAAGACAACGCGGGCGCGAACATAACAGTGGAGCGCAATGCTGCAAACGGTCGTCCCGACTTCTCAACAAACCCCCGAGGGCATTTTCGGTCTCCCTCGGACAGTGCCTAATTGGGAGAGGCAGTGCGGGCTGAAATATTTGTATCTGCCGACCGTTGGGAAATTCTCGCGGATTGCCAAACGCGACGACGCAAGACGGCACCTTCTGGACGTCGGGGATGCTGGTAGGCCGCAAACGGTAACCGTTGGAGTGAAGTCGAATGTTGGCGACCCAACATGTCCGTGGAGACGCAGGCAGGACCACCGATGGACCGGACGGAATTGAAAAATGTCGCCGAAGGAGCTGCCGCCGACGCCCCGATTCTTCCGGAAGCTCGACCTCCGAGGGACCTCGGGAGGTCCCTTGGGGAAATCGCCAAAACGGCTGTGGCCTCGAGGAATCCCCGAGGAATCCCCGAGGAATCCCCGAGGAAACGTTTTCACATTTTCTTTTCCGCGTCTTCCCCGAGGATGAGTGGAACGAGCATTTCCTTGGGGAATTTCGGGCCCCGAAGAGTGTCGAACGACGCCCTATAAGTGTTGTGCCTTCCTAGGGCATCCTCACACTACGTAGTAGGAGTTTCTGTGATGTATGTATCTGACCACAATTCCCTTTCTATCCATCAGAGCATGGGTATGACATTAGCCATTCGAGGCGCTTCCTGTACTTGTTGTGCCAATCATTGGGTGCCACTGCTCTGCTTCCACAGGCCATAGTATTGTTATGTACCCGATTGAACTTCAATCCACAACGAATCCACACATTCCCATACACGCATGCAATTGCAGAGTAGACGCAAAGGTGGCAATTCCACACAAAACCGGAAGGGAGATATCCACAGCGGAGGCTGAAAACACACAAAGAAGTGAAAAACGAATTTCAATTCGGCAATCCCTCATCCTCCTCCAATCAATCCAGAGTATTTATTCCAAGAATCCCAACCACGTTATCAACACCCACGGAACAAATTATTTACAGAGTTTCATCGAAGTATCCGGGAGTCTTTTTCTTCCCCCCTCTTCTTTAAGCTCTAGCTATGGTGCCTGCGGGCACCCAACCTATCAAGCCTGCCAATTGCTACACACCCTTCTGAACCCAGCGCCCCTTTTTGCACCACTCAAGAAGCCCGCTGCAGATAAACTGGCCACTCAGCAGCGAAGCGCAAGAAGAACAACAACTCGATGAAGATGATGGCCTGCTATCGAAGCAGGCATAGAGAAGTTCCTTCGATGGCAGTTGTCGAAACCCCAACAAAATAGCGATGGAGGAGTGCCCCACAGAACTGGGCCTGATGCCTGGGCCAGACTTGCGTGAGTCCCATAACCCCAGCAATGGTCACACACTTCATGTGAGGAAGGAGACGAGAGAGTGCTAAAATTAGCGCAGCTTCCAGCGCTGACCTCCAACAGCACTTCGTGGAAAAAAAAATGTCGAAAATAGAACCGACCTGGTCCCTGCCTATGTCTACCCAACTTCCCCAGGCCTCCCACCCAGTAGCAACCTACAGGCCTATCTGACCGTCCGACCAGCAAACATCTACGACCTAGGAATCAAGATCTGCCTAACTGCATCTAGATGGAAAAGTGAGCTAAAGGACCCAAGGCTAAGACACCCAAACGAGGGAGACCTACAGCCTACCAATTTCTAGAAAGGCAGAAAGGACAAAACAACGAGGCCGAAAGGCATAAGACTGCGAAAAAGGGACTACTAACAACAGGTTCAAGGTTCAAGCCCTACAAGCAGCGTTGTCGAGCGGGGAACCCCGGGGGCAAAGCCGGTGTTAGGCTGCGGACCCCGGACCCCCGCCGCGGGGTTCATCCAACCCCGCCACCGCCGGACGACCCCCGCCGCCGCCCAGCCCCGGGTACCCCGCCGCCTAACCCCGCAGGCCCGCCACCG